TCCAAGCATCAGCCTGGTGGACCAAACTCTCACAAGTCAAGCCTGGCCTCGGGCCGGGCTTGGGGAGTAGAAGAACTCCCAGAACCCCATCAACCAGGTATCAACCAACTCCCAGAAGAGAAGTATTGCTCACACCACAAAGTGAAACATGGTGATTGTGTGCGATGTGCCAGCACACACATTCTGCTGTGCGTTATCAAGAGTTTGAGTCCAAGTGATACTTCAACCACTTGATAACTCCTGCTTGAAGATCTTGGTTGTGTGTGCAGTCTACTGTGGATTCCACCTCACGGGTCCAACACGATGACATAGACAAGGCAGCTAAAGCTGCATGAAACAAGCTGGAAATTGAAGTAGAGCTAAGCATACTGTGGCTGTTTATTAAAGCCACACTACAAGCAACTTGTAGGTGTGGCAGAAGACAACCCATTAAACAATAGGTAGGCTAGGATATCCTTGCCTTAGGCAGGTGGTTATATTGAGAATTACCAATTATATATGATTAAAAAAAAGGGGGGGGGCGGGGCACAAGATATCTGAAGTATTGTAACTATTTCATTCATTCAAGAATATTTAGAGGATATCACAGTGTCCCCGCCTAGCACAGCTGAGACGGCACCACTCCCGTGCCAGGTAAGTCCACTACGGGATCACCATAGCCCGTGCTACTTGGAACCTGTTCCGAGTAGCTGAATCTATAACAACAACAACAACAGCCTAACAGTGGCAGGTATGACCCAAGCGCTCTGGCAGACTGGGATATTGGGTGAACCTTGACCTGAAGCGTGTGACCGCGGGTGAGGACTGGAGTAGCGGCACAGTGGGGTGAGGGTGGCGGGGTCTCTGGCATGAGTGGTGCCGGGAGGGGAGGGGGGGTGAGAGAAAGTGAGGGGGGAGTCTGGGCCGACCTTGTCCTTTCCCTGCTGGCCGCTCTACGGCCTTCTTATGTAACGTTGGCTCCCTCCATACCAGTGGGGCTCCCTCGGCCCCAGCTGGGGGGGCTCCCTCAGCAGCAGCTGGGGGGCTTCCTCGCAGGTGCTTTATTTCTGGTTCTCTTTATTGCACCTCTATCGTTCCCTGTTCCGAGTTCTCTGCACTTTACCCAGGCCTTTTGTGTCCCTTCCCTAGCTCCCTGGCCTTGCCTCTTGAACCAGGAGTATACCTGACTTTCTTCATCATCCTCCTCCTTGAGTGGGGGTGAAGTATTCCGTTGCTTCTGCACCTTTCTCAGCCAAGATTTCCATCATCTCGTTTGCTGTCTTCCCCTTCATCTCTCTCTCTCTCTCATCCAGATTCCTCACAGAAAGTCCCTCATCCTGTTGTGGTCCTCATGTCTGTAATCTTTCTCGTACTTCAACTCATTTCTTTGTGTAATCAACTCTAGCAGCCCCATCACTATGTCTTCAAGCATGACAGGGTTTGTAATTATTGGATTGGTTGCTACCTCCTCTTACAGGCATCACGTACTGTTTTCAACATTGTCTCATTTGGGGAAAACAGCAGGTCTAGTGACAAAATTAATTGGAGCAATGAGCGGGACTCGAACCAGCGATCAAGATACTACCAGCCGGACAACTTACCCCTGTACCAGGACGTGAATAAGTTATACAACCTGGGATTCCACTGACTCCACAGGAAGTGTGGAGGCCACTCTGAAGCTAGTCCAAGTGTTGCACATAATTCCCAGCACTCCGGTGTAGACGAAGTAGTGCGTTACGATATGGAAGAAAATGCAGAATAGAACCATGCAGAGCAGGGGTGCCATAGGCACAATCAGAGAACACTGTATAAACATCAAAGGTCCACGGTTGTTCAACATCCTCCCAGCGAGCATAAGAAATATTGCCGGAACAAACGTAGACATCTTCAAGAGGAAACTAGGTTTTTCCTTCAAGAAGTGCCGGACCAACCGGGCTGTGGTGGGAGGAGGATGGTTTACGGGCTCACCATAGCCCGTGCTACTGGGAACGTTTAGATGCAGCTGCTAACTGGAACAAAAACAACTACAAGGGTGGTGGTGGGGGTGGGAGGGTGCAGGGGTGGTGTGGGAGGAGGGGTGGTGGTGGTGGTGGTGGTGGGAGGGTGCAGGGGTGGTGGGGGAGGGTGCAGGGGTGGTGTGGGAGGAGGGGTGGTGGTGGTGGTGGGAGGAGGGGTGGTGGTGGTGGGAGGGTGCAGGGGTGGTGGTGGTGGGAGGGTGCAGGGGTGGTGGTGGTGGGAGGGTGCAGGGGTGGTGGGGGAGGGTGCAGGGGTGGTGTGGGAGGAGGGGTGGTGGTGGTGGTGGGAGGAGGGGTGGTGGTGGTGGTGGGAGGAGGGGTGGTGGTTGTGGTGGGAGGGTGCAGGGGTGGTGGGGCAGGGGTGGTGGTGGTGTGGGAGGAGGGGAGGTTGTGGTGGTCAGTTGAGGTAATGTACAGTCACTGGTAATGTTTTCTAGGTCACCCACTGCAGTGTTCTCTCAAACAATTCCATGTTCAGACCAATACAATGCCAACGAAAATAAGAGATTTCATTTAAACATCAAACAGATTTTTATATATTTTTGTTTTATTTTGTTTGAGTAACTTTGATGTGCATTTTTACACAATTGTAACTTTCCACTTTTTCACCAGGAATTTGTGGTAAAAAGTCAATGTTTGAAATGTATATTATGATCAGGGGAAACAATGATCTTTGGCTGAGTGGGCTGTGGAGCTTGCGTGACTCTGGGGCCGCCACCAGTAGACGCACAGAGGGACCATTGTGTCTACTGGTCGCCCAGCGAGGGGGGTGTACACTTGCTTCATGACATTACACCTCTTGCTATCTTGAGGTTATCTTGAGATGATTTCGGGGCTTTAGTGTCCCCCTAAACTAAACTAAACTAAATCCCCTAAATTTAGTGTCTTGCTAGCTAGACATTATTCCTGAATCACCAGCAGTCAGGGCAAAACCTGTCCTCACACTTGGCTGGTTAAAGCAGCGGCCGTCCTCCCCAGACGCATTCATTAATTTTAACATACTTCATAACATAAAAGTTGGTTTGTTCTTATATATAAACTTATTTTATTATACATGAAAATTCTATGCATAGTTAGGTGTAGGTTAGGTTAGGTATTTGGGTTCTGTTGGCAATTATTTGTATTTGTAGTACGTGGGTGAAGCATTTACAGCGTTGTGGTTCGAACAGAGGACGTGAGCGCAGCACTTGTTCCGGAAGTGTTCGGACGGCATCAGTTGAGTCATGTGTAAACCCCTTTTTATTCATAAACAGGGGGGTTTGGCGGCTGGATTAACGAGCTTGGATCTTTGTATGCGAGGACGGTGGCTGGTCAGTGAGCAAAGTAAGCGAGCTGAGATCAAGTGATAGCAGCCCGAATAGGGGAAAGGGGCCCAACCCAGAGAACTTTAGCAAAAATGTCTCAGCGGCTGAGGAGGGGAGGGGGATGTAGAGAGAATAGGGTTGGGTGAGTGAGGACTCACTCACTCACTCATGTAAGTGAGGACTCGTCAGACCTATCCCTTCCCAACCAACTTGCTTATTTAAGTGAAAGTGTTATTGTCTTGGGAGCCAAACCAACATCATCTTGCCCGTGAGAGAGGATCTTGGGTGAGGTAGGGTTATAAGGGAGGTACAGTTACCTTCCCCCCCCCCCCTCACCACAATAACAGGCTCCTATATTTTATATACCTGTAACTCCACTTCCCTTCAGAGGCCTGAGAGTGAAGTAAAGCAGAGTGCCTCTATAACCCTCTCCACTACCGCCCACAAGATGGGTATAGGGTGCATAATAAATGAATTGTTTACACTAGCCTGCTGGGCTCAGGTTTGATGAGTTGGGTTGTACCCAAAGGGAACCAACCTTTAGGTTGTTGTTGTTGTTAAAGATTCGCTACCTGGAACAAAGTTCCAAGTAGCACGGGCTATGGTGAGCCCGCAGAACCTTTAGGGTGTTATGACTGGCACTCTCGGCGCTAACGGAGCGTGGAGGCTCGACCCACCGCTTTCCCTACCCCGTGTTTGTTGATAGTCAACACGTGTTGCCCTGCCGTAAGAAACGGTTGTGCAGCAGTAGCCTCTTCCCACACCTGATACCTGCTTGATGGCGTTCTGGGGGTTCTTCTACTCCCCCAAGCCATAGGGGAGTCGCTTCACAGTAACTACACTACCACCTTCTGTGCCAAACAAAAATCCCCGCCATGAAATAATATTATTATTAACATCTTTATTGACAAAATTAATTACAATTTTGCCTAATCTGAGGATTTTGATAGTCTTATTAAAGTGAGGATAATGCTGGTATTCACTGTCACGCAGGACAGAGGGTCATACATGAGACAATAGGTCTAAACTGTAGGCTGAAGCACATATATATCATGGTTACAATCAATCTTTTAATGAAATATTAAAATATGACAATGACGAGGGAGCCGCTGAGGGGGAGAGAGGGCTCCATTTATGCTCCAGGCTGGATCACTTGCCAGCACAACACTTAGGTCGACACTCCGTAAGTGTCAAGGTGGATGGCAAGTGTGTGAATACTTCTACTGGGCCAACTGAGAGAGTGCTTCTCACCTGTATGGAAAACATCCTGGGTCTGTGTGGCAAGTGTTTGTTGTGGCAAGTGAGTGTGTTGTGGTGAGTGTATGTTTGTTGTGGCAAGTGTGTTTGTTGTGGTAAGTGAGTGTGTTTGTTGTGGTGAGTGTGTTTGTTGTGGGAAGTGTGTGTGTGTGTTGTGGTAAGTGTGTTTGTTGTGGGAAGTGTGTGTGTGTGTTGTGGTAAGTGTGTTTGTTGTGGGAAGTGTGTGTGTGTTTGTTGTGGCAAGTGTGTATGTATGTGTTGTGGCAAGTGTGTGTGTGTGTGTGTTGTGGTAAGTGAGTGTGTGTGTTGTGGTAAGTGAGAGTGTTTGCTGTGGCAAGTGTGTGTGTGTTGGGTGTGTCAAAGGTACACACAACAGTGGCTGGAGTGCATGTGTTCAAAAGTGTTGGGAGTGAACACTTGGGGGGGGTCAAAGTGTACCACTTACCTGTTATTGATAGCAGTATTCTCGTCAACTGGTGTTTACACCATAACAACACTTTACATATGTCTCTAGCACCAACACAGGTGGGGGTGTGTCCCAATAGCTCTCTCTGTGGCAGTATAATATATATATATATATTGTATCTATGTCAAGTACAGTACTCCTGTTTTTCAGCCGAGTGTATAATCATTTTCAGTTGTAAAAATATGCACTTGTCAGAGACAGGGAGAGAGAGAGTGGACAAATTGTTCAGATGGCGAGTGAGCGGCACAGTAATGTGACCTAGAGCGACACGATGGCGTTCTTCTCCCGTGGAGCCTTGGCGGGTAACTGAGCTTCAGCCCCACAGGCACCTCAACACCACTCTCTCTCTCTCTCACCCGCCCGTGCGCCTGGTGGCACTCTGGTTCATGACACCCACTCTCCCGCCCGCTTGGTGGCACTCTGGCTCACAACACCCACTCTCCCGCCCGCCTGGTGGCACTCTGGCTCACAACACCCACTCTCCCGCCCACCTGGTGGCACTCTGGCTCACAACACCCACTCTCCCGCCCGCCTGGTGGCACTCTGGCTCACAACACCCACTCTCCCGCCCGCCTGGTGGCACTCTGGCTCACAACACCCACTCTCCCGCCCGCCTGGTGGCACTCTGGCTCACAACACCCACTCTCCCGCCCACCTGGTGGCACTCTGGCTCACAACACCCACTCCCGCCCGCCTGGTGGCACTCTGGCTCACAACACCCACTCTCCCGCCCACCTGGTGGCACTCTGGCTCACAACACCCACTCCCGCCCGCCTGGTGGCACTCTGGTTCACAACACCCACTCTCCCGCCCGCCTGGTGTCACTCTGGCTCACAACACCCACTCTCCCGCCCGCCTGGTGTCACTCTGGCTCACAACACCCACTCTCCCGCCCGCCTGGTGGCACTCTGGTTCACAACACCCACTCTCCCGCCCGCCTGGTGGCACTCTGGCTCACAACACCCACTCTCCCGCCCGCCTGGTGGCACTCTGGCTCACAACACCCACTCTCCCGCCCGCCTGGTGGCACTCTGGCTCACAACACCCACTCTCCCGCCCGCCTGGTGTCACTCTGGCTCACAACACCCACTCTCCCGCCCGCCTGGTGGCACTCTGGCTCACAACACCCATTCTCCCGCCCGCCTCGGGTGCTAAAGGTAACATTATATAACACTTAACGATCTTTCTCGCTGTATTTAATGCTGCGTATTGTTTAACCGGTTTTTATCTCGTGCATTTTCTGTGTTGCTCACGAAGCTTAGTCACGCGACCCCTTGCAAGAGGCTCCTTGTAGCTGGCAGTGTTGTAGCTGGTGAATAAGATCACTTTATACCTCAATTGAAATCTCCTTCACATCGCTTGTAGAAAATTTAAAGTAATGATTAGAGTTTTGTTAATGTACTTTTCTTCATATATATATATATATATATATATATATATATATGATATATATATATATATATATATATATATATATATATATATATATATGTCGTACCTAGTAGCCAGAACTCACTTCTCAGCCTACTATGCATGGCCCGATTTGCCTAATAAGCCTAGTTTTCATGAATTAATGTTTTTTCGACAACCTAACCTACCTAACCTAACCTAACCTAACGTTTTCGGCTACCTAACCTAACCTAACCTATAAAGATAGATTAGGTTAGGTTAGGTAGGGTTGGTTAGGTTCGGTCATATATCTACGTTAATTTTAACTCCAATAAAAAAAAATTGACCTCTTACATAATGAAATGGGTTGCTTTATCATTTCATAAGAAAAAAATTAGAGAAAATATATTAATTCATGAAAACTTGGCTTATTAGGCAAATCGGGCCTTGCATTGTAGGCTGAAAAGTGAGTTCTGGCTACTAGGTACGACATATATATATATATATATATATGTCGTACCTAGTAGCCAGAACTCACTTCTGAGCCTACTATGCAAGGCCCGATTTACCTAATAAGCCAAGTTTTCATGAATTAATTGCTTTTCGACTACCTAACCTACCTAACCTAACCTAACCTAACTTTTTCGGCTACCTAACCAAACCTAACCTATAAAGATAGGTTAGGTTAGGTTAGGTAGGGTTGGTTAGGTTCGGTCATATATCTACGTTAATTTTAACTCCAATAAAAAAAAATTGACCTCTTACATAATGAAATGGGTTGCTTTATCGTTTCATAAGAAAAAAATTAGAGAAAATATATTAATTCAGGAAAACTTGGCTTATTAGGCAAATCGGGCCTTGCATAGTAGGCTGAGAAGTGCGTTCTGGCTATTAGGTACGACATATATATATATATATATATATATATATATATGAGAGAGAGAGAGGTACGGCGTAGATGACAGCCGTCAACAGAGGGTACGGCGTGCTTGACAGCCGTCAACAGAGGGTACGGCGTGGATGACAGCCGTCAACAGAGGGTACGGCGTGGATGACAGCCGTCAACAGAGGGTACGGCGTGCTTGACAGCCGTCAACAGAGGGTACGGCGTGCTTGACAGCCGTCAACAGAGGGTACGGCGTGGATGACAGCCGTCAACAGAGGGTACGGCGTGCTTGACAGCCGTCAACAGAGGGTACGGCGTGCTTGACAGCCGTCAACAGAGGGTACGGCGTGCTTGACAGCCGTCAACAGAGGGTACGGCGTGGATGACAGCCGTCAACAGAGGGTACGGCGTGCTTGACAGCCGTCAACAGAGGGTACGGCGTGGATGACAGCCGTCAACAGAGGGTACGGCGTGCTTGACAGCCGTCAACACTTAAGGAATCAAGGCCAACATGTTTGTTGACTTGGCCAGAGCGACTGTGGCACTTCTGACATATTCTCTCTGGGGAAAACTATTTCCACCACATAAGCAGATCCGAAAATCTGATTCACCAAGTTATCCACCCGATTACTGGCCAACCTCCCACAGTGTTCCCATGGATGAGGTTGTAGTGAGATAGAGCCAGGGTGTGTGTCCCTGTACTCGCTTAGTACTCACCTAGTTGTGTTTGCGGGGGGTTGAGCTCTGGCTCTTTGGTCCCGCCTCTCAACCGTCAATCAACAGGTGTACAGGTTCCTGTGTGGTTCACAGGTTCCTGTGTGGTTCACAGGTTCCTGTGTGTATGTGGGGGGGGAGAGGGGTGTAGTGAGAGAGAGCCAGGGGTGTGTTACACATATGGCAGAGAGAGAATGTAGTGGGGGGAAAGGGAAGGAATAATTCAGTACATGGTGGGATGTCCCTCTTGCCTCACACCTTGGTCAGTACCGCTATAATCTTACCCTTCGTCCTGATGACTCTCACTGTGGGCTCTCCCCTCGCCCACTGGCCAATCTCCACCCCACACTAGCTTGTGGGGGTTGAGCTCCGGCTCTTGGGTCCCGCCTCTCGACCGGTGTACAGGTTCCTATGTATAATATGTACAAGAGGATTTAGGGCATAGTAACCCAGGGGGGAGAGGCTAGGCTACTTGCTGTGTTAAGAGCCTGATATTATCTAGTACTCTATGGCAGATGTTTTCATTTTTAATTTACATAATTTGTGTATAATTTTAAGTGGATGAAGGTAACTCAGGTAGGTGTAGACTGTCTCTGATGTTGGTGTTCTAAGTGCGTGTTGACGATGACTAAATTGGTGGCTGGTTACGCCCATCACCTTGGTCGTTGGCGGCCAGCGGCTGCTACAGTGTTGGGGACGACGAGGGTGTACAGCGGCCCGCGTGTGTGTAAGGACAGTGTCGCAGGTGTAGCCATACTGGCTACACACACCTCGGCCTTCATGTCCAAATGTCTTGCTCCAGAGGCTCTCCTCCCCACTTACCACATGTCTTTTTTTCCATGTTGAGGAGACTAAAGGTAGGCCAGGCTGTGAGGCTAGGAGCACTTCAGGAAGAGGCGAGTGCTTGTAGGAAATGAGATGCATCTGCAACATTGTAAGGGAAGGCAGCAGCAGCAGCAGCACTACCACCACCACCACCAGCAGCAGCAGCAGCACTACCACCACCACCAGCAGCAGCAGCAGCAGCAGCAGCTCCACCACCACCAGCAGCAGCAGCAGCACCACCACCACCACCAGAGCAGCAGCAGCACCACCACCACCACCACCAGAGCAGCAGCAGCACCACCACCACCACCACCAGCAGCAGCAGCACCACCACCAGCAGCACCACCACCACCATCACCACCACCAGCAGCACCACCACCACCACCACCAGCAGCACCACCACCACCACCACCACCAGCAGGAGCAGCAGCAGCAGCACCACCACCACCAGCAGCAGCAGCAGCAGCAGCACCACCACCACCAGCAGCAGCAGCAGCAGCACTACCACCACCAGCAGCAGCAGCAGCAGCAGCAGCACTACCACCACCACCACCAGCAGCAGCAGCACTACCACCACCACCAGCAGGAGCAGCAGCAGCACTACCACCAGCAGGAGCAGCAGCAGCACTACCACCACCACCAGCAGGAGCAGCAGCAGCACTACCACCACCACCACCAGCAGGAGCAGCAGCAGCACTACCACCACCACCAGCAGGAGCAGCAGCAGCACCACCACAAGCAGCACCACCAGCACCACCAGCAGCAGCAGCACTACCACCAGCACCAGCAGCAGCACTACCACCACCACCAGCAGGAGCAGCAGCAGCAGCACTACCACCAGCAGCACCACAAGCACCACCACCACCACCACCAGCAGCAGCAGCAGCAGCACTACCACCACCACCACCACCACCACCGCCAGCAGCAGCAGCAGCACTACCACCACCACCAGCAGCAGGAGCAGCAGCAGCACTACCACCACCACCAGCAGGAGCAGCAGCAGCACTACCACCAGCAGCACCACTACCACCAGCAGCACCACTACCACCAGCAGCACCACTACCACCAGCAGCACCACAAGCACCACCACCACCAGCAGCAGCAGCAGCAGCAGCACTACCACCACCACCGCCAGCAGCAGCAGCAGCACTACCACCACCACCAGCAGCAGGAGCAGCAGCAGCACTACCACCACCACCAGCAGGAGCAGCAGCAGCACCACCACCAGCAGCACCACAAGCACCACCAGCAGCAGCAGCAGCAGCACTACCACCACCAGCAGCAGCAGCAGCACTACCACCACCACCAGCAGGAGCAGCAGCAGCACTACCACCAGCAGCACCACCACCACCACCACCAGCACCACCACCACCACCACCACCACCAGCAGCAGCAGCAGCACTACCACAAGCAGCACCACCACCAGCAGCAGCAGCAGCAGCAGCACTACCACCAGCAGCACCGCCACCACC